AGTGCAACACCTTTAAATCTTATTGTTATTATCATATGAAATCTCATTAAACATTGAATTTGTGCATTCTAAAATTATAACATTCAAATTTCTAATATCTATTTTATATCATGTAGATCTCATCATTCAGACTCTACTTGGTACTTCCCCTTGAAAATGTAAAAAGAAAAATTCTAAAAACATAGTGTGGCTATATGCCCAAAGTGCACAGAACACTGTTACCTTCCCATCAAAATGGTACCTATTAATCTACTTGCATTTGCATGCTTTCAAACTGCTAGGTGGGCAGGGACTGGGGCAAGTAACAGGAGATCACCTTGTTGCATGGAGCTCGGTCTCGAACCTGGGCTGTCAGCTCTAGCTGATAAGGTTGGTGTTTTTAACCACTGAACCTTTGTACCCCCCTCAAATTATATGAGGAAACACTAAATAGAAAATACATACTTTATAATTATTCCCATTTTCTTGAAATGTCTGCTTATGAGAAAATGCATGGTATCTTTTAAAACTATTAATGGCAAAAGGCATAGGGATTATGAAATATATGCTTGTTGTCAGATTATTTTGTTCCTGACCAATGCCATGCCTCTATCCCTTGTATACAACCTCTAAGCCTTCATGGCCCATATATCACCTCCCATGCCCTGCTTGCTGCACACCCTCCCTGACCTGCACAGCATCTCTGACCCACCATCCCGAAACCTCCCTCACATTCCCATGCAGCCTCTCGCTCCCTCCCCCACCTAACATCAGCCACTTTCCTGTCAGCCACTTACTGCCTGACTTCTTTCTAACTTTAGATGTTGGAAATAGGCAATAAATTTCCACACCATATGATTATGGTTTCAGTTAACAGTGACAGTTGGTATTTCAGAAATTGCTGTTGCCAAAGTGATGTGGTCTCAGTGAACAGCTGTATCACTTAATGACAGAAATTCAGGTCCCAATTTCTATCATAAATTGAGGACTACTTGTATGCTGTTCAGAGGGATTTAATGTCTTACAGAACGTAAAATACTTGACAGAAAGTCTACCTATTCTTCCTCTCTGCCTAATTATTGTATACATATTTCATATGTGTTTATAATGTGTATTACAAAGACAATGAAGTCAACACTCATGGTTGGGTGCTTTGTGAATTTGAGTCTAAACTGCTCTGCATTCCAACACAGCATCAATTCTAGGAATGTGAGAAGAGATGACATTGTATAAAAATAAATGAAAATGTAGCAGAACCAGCCTTGCAGATGCATTCCATTATTATTAATATACACTTTATTTTTCTAAATTAAGATAGGCATATATACATCTTTTGTATATATTTGTTTTAACTTACATTTTCATTATTGTAGTAGTTTTAGTATGTCAACCTCAAGCAATATAAAATAGGATACTTTGAATGATGAATTAAGTAAGATTCTAATATCTGATAAGGAAAGCAAATTTAGATAATATTGGATTTATAATGTTTTGGGATACGGTTTCTAATAAAAATATGTTTTTTGAAATGTCTCTTGAATTGATTTATAATATCTTTGAACAATGAATGCCTTTTCCTCTTGTTGGTCACTGTTGAAATAAACCACACACAATTTTGTATCCTTTGTCTCCTGCCCAATATTGGTATTTAAGATGGTAAATATAAAATGTAAAGTACTTTATATACAGTTCTGTAGTTTATATGTAAGTTTAAATATGGAAGATAAGCATATCATATATATTACAATAACAGAAAAGTCACTTCTATGTCTTCAAAAGGGATTAGGTTAGGTATGATAATAGTCTTCAATCCATTTTCTTTCTTATGTGAGAACAACAGATTTCTATGCAGATGAGAGGAACATTTTTTTTTCCAACTGGTGCCAACATCTTATGATTTTTGATAGTCTTTTTCAGAGTGCATCTATTATTGGATAGTCTGGTTAGATGCAATGTGTTGTATATTGGAGTCCCGCATGAAGAGAGTTCTGAATGCTAGTGGTTCACAGTTTATGCAAAACTGGTTTCAATATATTCTATTCAACAGAAGAAAAAATATGAAATACTGCTTAACTTCAAAATTAATCATTAAAATAAAAAAGAAACAAATAGAAAATTGTTATAGTTTTTTAAAACTATAGCCTTATATACTCTGAAAATTTCTTTGTCCTTTTATTTGAAAAAAATAAAATAAATCAAGAGTTGACCGCACTTATAAAAAAAAAAACCTTGTTGCGAATTAGGTGTAGATGTCTCCTGCTAGTGTTGCATAATTTTCTCAGCTCCCATATATGAAAAAATCCATAATTCTTGAAGCTTTGATATCTAGTAGATTACAACTACCAGAAATAAGTCAAGAAAAACATAAACATTACCAACACACAATAATTTATCCAGTAAAAATAATTTAAAGTGTCTTTTGTTTTTTTATAAATTTGTGGAATGCTATTGTTTTTGAACAAAATTTATATAGTTCTTAAGGAAACTAAATCATTTGTCTATTAAAAATTATCCTGGAAGTTGGGTCTGAAACATTACCATGTATATTTAATTATGATTGAAGAATATCTGGTGAATGGGGTTGCAGAAATTTGGTGCGATCTTTTAGTCATTTCTTAGTGCTTTGGGGATTAGTCTGCACTTGCTACAGGGTTAACTTTTCATGAGGATAGTTTCAATTTGCAAATAGTCCTCACTGACCAACTACTTGTTCAATGACTGTTTGAAGTTGCGATGACACTAAGTGAGACATACTTATGACTCTTCCTTGAATTTCTGGCTGTTGCAGTGCCCCTACAGTCACATGATTGTGATCTGGGTACTTAGCAACAAGCTTGCACTTATGATAATTTGCAGTATCCTCTGGTCATATAGTTGCCATTTGCAACCTTACCTGTTAGTTTCCTACAAGGAAAGTCAATGGGGAAACTGACAGGGAAGGCTACAATCAGTGGTGGGATTCAAAAATTTTTTTACAACCGGTTCTGTGGGCGTGGCTTACTAGGCGTGGCTTGGTGGACATGGCAGGGGAAGGATACTGTAAAATCTCCATTTCCACCCCACTCCAGGGGAAGGATACTGTAAAATCTTCATTCCCTCTCCACTCCTGGGGGAAGGTTGTTGCAAAACCCCATTCCCTCCCCATCCCACTAACCTGCTTTCCAGCTCCGTTCTCCTGTGCAGGGCAACAAAAGAAGACCCAGCTGATCAGCTGGGACTCGGGAGACAGAGAATAGATGGGGGCGGGGCCAGTAAGGGGTGGTATTTGCCAGTTCTCTGAACTACTCAAAATTTCTGCTACCAGTGCTCCGAACTACTCAAAATTTCCGCTACTGGTTCTCCAGAACTGGTCAGAACCTGCTGAACACCACCTCCGGCTACAATGTAATTCCTTCCCCCCCCCACAGCCTTCCTGCATGCCACACTTTCCTTGACCATCCTTTGCCCTCTTCCTTTCCCCGCTTCTCATGGATGCACCAGTGCCTTCCTTGCAGCGGTTGGCATATATGAAGTTAGATTCAACATAATTTGAAGAAAGATGTGGTTCTGTAATGTTCAGTAAGAAAACTGCGTATTGAAAGGGCAAACAACTTTTAAGATTTGTTTCAAAGTATTATTAGTTTGTGGAACTGATGGGCTCTAAAAGATTGCCACCATATAGAAAATAATAATCTGACTTGGTAATTACATTTCCAACAATTTTTACAATTGTTTTATTTTAACAATCAGAACTGGAATATGATACCAACAGTGGAACATCCTATATCAATTTTCTCTAAGTGTAATATGTGGAAGAAATTAAATATCATTTTCCATTGAAATTCTCTATTGTTGCTTATTTATACTATATTCAAATAATAGCTCATATAACAAATGTGCTCTGACATGAATATGTAACATGCTTGTAATACTTGTAAAGTTCTGTGGCCTTTCTGTTCCTTCAAATAGTATGGAATAAAATAATGTAAATTTTTTCTTCCCACTTGATTTATAATAAAATAAATTTCTTACTAAATATTTATTAAAAGTTAAATGCACTGTAAGTTTGTAGATAGAATTATTATGGGGACTGCTATAATCTAAAGAGTCTAGCTGTCTTTTATATCTAATTGACTATACTTACATTTCAGATGTATATAAAAATGACAGGATGTAGTGGTAAATATATAAAAATAAATAAGGTACAATCACAATTTCTTTGTATGCTACAATGTCATATAATAATGCCTCTTACCACACAGTGCTCCTGCACATTTAATTGGCTGCAGTATCTTGAAATACAATGAAGTAATGCAGGAATAAAAGAAATCCAGAAGGGGGAATGCTGAGAGGTGAATCTGACTTTGAAAATCTTATAATGTGTAATATTGAACATTGGTTAGGCATAATTTATAAATTACTAGTAAAATATGAGCCCAAATCCAAACATTCATGCGACACATGCAGTGGTTAAATGGATGCTGCATTTAAATTTACTTACAGATGGAGTTTCAGTGGTAGAAGCAGGAACAAAAGCAAATACATGCATGCATGAATCAGTGCCATGATGCAACTATTGATATGTTGGTTTGTTTTCTTCAGTCTTATTCTCTGAAAATCCCAAATGTTGCAAAAGTTAGAAGACAGGGGAAAAAATCCAGATGGTCATTTAAGAGAATAAAATATTACTTACAGCATTAGGAAGCAATACATTTCTCCCTAATTCTAACTGTCTTTACTAAATTAAACAGTTGGGTAAATAATTTAAATAACATTGAAAAACTGTACAGTAAAAAAAGCATTGAGTAAAATAAGCATAGAATAGCCTACTGATCTGTTAACAAGTATGCAAATATAATTCTAATATGATGTTTTAGAACATGTTTTGAATACTTTAGGATTTTCTTCTTAGACACATTTTTGTACAGTATCTATCTCTCTGTGAGCCTAAAGCAACATTGGCCCTCTTTAATATTAATGTACTCTACTATAAGATGCTGCTTCTTTGCCTCTGATTAATGCTGCCTGTCAATTATTTACAGATCCTGTGGTTTTGTGGAAGTTCCCGGAGGACTTTGGAGACCAGGTTAGACATGTGAGATTGATCCTTTTAAAATGACAAAGCAGTAAATGTAATAACAACAATAATGATATCAACATCATTTCTCTCTCTGCATCAGCTTTTCTACTGTGCTGGAGAAAGACAGATGGTTGGGAATAGCAGTAAGAGAATTTTCACCAGCTGATTGTATTATTAGAATTTGTTTTCTGCATGAAACATTACACAGGATATTAGTTACTTTAGTTAAGGCCATGGATGTATGTGTGGATATATCTCTGATGGAATTGTTTTCCTACTATTATTAATAACCCTCCTGTGGGCTACATTAGTGTAATTATGATTGATATAAAAAGATTAAAATTGTCACCAGGTGCATAACTTTATTAATAAGCTCAAGTGGTGATTTTAGACATTTATTTACACAATACAGATAAATCAGATCAGTTATGAATGTTTCATGATAGCTCATCCCATTGGTTGTAGAAATATCATACACCAGTGTTTCTCAATCTTGAGAACCTGAAGATGTGTGGACTTCAGTCAGAATTCCCCAGTCAGCCATGGTGGCTGGGGAATTCTAGGAGTTGAAGTCCACATATCTTCAAGCTCTAAATGTTGAGAAACACTGTGATATATGGATGGCACAGTGTCAGTTTGTCTTACACCAGGGGTGTTAAACGCATGGCCTGTGGGTTGGATGCGTCATGTGTTGGCCATGCCCACCCCCGTTTTAGCAAAGTTACAATACGTCACATGATGACAATGTGATGATGCGAATTTGATACTCCTGTCTTACACCTTAGGCCAAACAGGTGGAACTAAATATTAATGGTTTTGAATGCCTTTTTTCACAGAAATCTGTAATATTCAGTGCATAAAGTATTTATCAAAGGTGTACAATCCAAGTTCTGAGGACACATAGCTTCAGAGTCCCTTCAAAACTTATGAACTATAATTCTTAGTTTGACAGGAGGCCAGTCATTAAATATGCATGCAATAATTATGTTAAACCTGATTCAATTCAGTTCAATTCATGTAAATGTTGAATTTAATAGATATAATAAAAATTAAAATGTTGATTTTACACTGGTCTCTCCTGCTTTTATATTTCCCCCGACTTCTGCTTACAATTTTTGATGGATAGTTCGTAATAAGTACTCAATCTGATAACAGTTACCCATTTTTGATATACATTATTTTTTAACAATCTGCTAACAGGTTATGAGAGCCTGGGTACAAATTTGTATTTAATATATTTTACTCCTTAAAAACAATAAAACCATAATTTAATTAGTTCAAACATATTTTTCAGTTTTGCTTTGAAGAATGCCAGATACTTTCAGAAAAATAAGGTATATATAAACAACAGCTTGATTTCTGTTTTTAATTCTGTTTTTAATATCAGGATTTATATAAGAACTATGTTCGCCAGTGCGGTTTACAACTCAGCACTTGTGCTCTTGTACTGAACATAGTTACGCAAATGTGAGTTCCATTAAAATCAATAACACTGATTGTTAATATTAATAGCGATTGTTCATAATAGCACAGAATTTTTGATTTTAATTCTGGGATTGTTGTTTTTTTAACAATTTTTCACGGAGTAATAGAAGTTGAACTCTGTTTTAGCACACAGAAACTTCATTTGCAGAATGAAATTAATGAATCTTTGACTGAGAGCAAAGTTTGTTACTTTTAGCTTTACTATCTTAATTATGGTTTAATCTCAAAGGCATACTATAGTACATATATATTCATACACGGGGCGTACATGAATAATAAATGTATTATACTTGCAATTAATATTTTAAATTCTTTTACTGTTTTAATTAAGAACTTAGGTAGATTTTCCTTTGAAGCTCTATAGATACAGTTCTTGAAAACAGAAAAAAAAAGGATTTTTTCCCATAGAGTTGCTTGGGAGGAGTGAAAAAGAGATTAATCCCTCCCCCATCATTCTGATCTAGGTAGATCTTGTGGTCTTCTGCTGTCTACCACATAACCAATCAACTGACTGATGAAGAAAAGTGGATATAGATTTTTAGCACAAAGAGAACATGAAGGATGAAGAGGCCTTGTAGCTGACCATGTATCATGCACATAATACGAGAAAATGATCATATTATATAAAAGCAGTTTATAGTTTATTAAAGTGTAAAAAGTTTTTTTTTTAAGTTTAAAAGATGCAACTAAAATCAAGGCATGCACAGCAGTATTCCCCTCCCCTAATTATACCTGTTTCTTTTCAATTTTCGTGAAAGTGACCGTTTCTGTATTTCTGTAATAAATTTAAAAATATTTTCATCCTGACTCTTGGATTGTTGGCCCACTTGTAAATTCCTGATTTCTACAAGGCAAACTAATATGTATTTATTTATATTTCTTTACTATGTGTCTTGTGTTTTTTTCTATTTTAACAATTAAATTAACAAAATAAATAATTTGCTTTATTCTTGTGATAATCACCACCTGAAATTAATATAATATGGCTCCCCCCATTTTATGTTTCCTTCAAATAGTTATACAATACCCTGACATATTTTTGGTCAAATATCACCCTTAAGGTAAACATTGTGATTATAGTACCTTCCAATATTCCTCTATAGAAGTGAGTTGGTTTTCAAAAGTTTGTTCTTTTGGCCCTGAAGCCGAAGTTCTCCACCCCGCCAATAGTTAGATTAAAAGCTTAAAGTTCATGTTAACTTCTTCCTTTTCTTTCTTCCTACTTACTGGGAGTAGGCAAGGAACTATACTATGCTCTATTTGTTGTTCCATGGTTTTCAGATGCACAAAAAAGTGAAGAAAGCAACATTTTGGGCAACCATTTTACTACTTACGATTGCTCACTGCTTCCTGAAAGGATTTATTTGCCAGGTGAAGGAAGAGCTGTTGAGATGGGACCACCATTATTTGAATTAGGTTTAGTTGAGAAGGTACCCATTTTCAGTCCCTATTTTATAGCTTCTGTTCTAATATACTACGTAACCAACTGAAGATAAGTAAGTACCGACATATCCGTCTCCCTGGCAAATCATTACATTATGAGATTCCACAAGAGACATAAATCTGTTCATTTCTACTTGCCAGCCATTCTTCTCTCTGATTATAAGTAATTTTTTTCTTGTTTGTCCTTTCCTTCTTGCAAACTTACTTTTTAGTCACTCCTGCTTCAGGACTTCGCCCAGGAGTTCTGTTTCTAAAAAGGAGTTTCTTCATTACAAAAAGAAACCATAATATGATTTTTCAAAAAGCTCTTTTTCAACTATTCATATTCTAAGAATTCAGAGCCCTAAGATACTGCCTTAATTAAGAGAGGAGAAACACTGAGTCAAATGTTCTTCTTCTCCAAATCCTTAATTCTCATAAAATTAAGTTGCAGACTTGACTGGCTTTTATCGCATTACAGTATAGGTACACATTACATAATGACTGTTCTGTTTAACGATCATTCAAAGTTATGATGGCACTGAAAAAAAGTAATTTTATGACTAGCCAATAGAGAAGCTGACAATAAAGCCTTAAGTCACAGGCATTCAGGTCTCATTTAACAACTGAGAGTGATTTGCAGCAGAATGAGATTGTAAATCTCACAGTCATATGATGTCTCACTTAATGACTATGTTAATTAGAAATGGAATTGCCAATCCCAATTTTACTCATAAAGTGAGGACTATCTATAAGGAGAGAACAATAGTTTTCAGTTTACATGTAATCTGCTTGGACAGGAAACTTCCTTTTTATCATAGATTGTCCTTTCCAACGCAAAATTACCAGACTTTTTGGTGGAGAAACAACAATTCCAGACAAGATCTTCTGGAGCAGCACTGTGAAAATTATCCTGTGCCAGGAACAACCTTATCTTTGTGAACTTATGCTATATGAAGGGATCTGGTTTGCTTGTCCAGGGGTAATACTCTTTATATTGTCTCTGCAGAAAAAAAAGTAAATGAAACAAAACTTCTAAATAGGAACAAAGGCTCTTGAAATGACAAGATAAAAATTTCTTCAATAAACATTGTATAGTAATAAGACTTTGGGGAGGGAAGTCTATATTGAATCCAGTAAATGCATTCTGGAAGAACATATAACACTTGTCTTATCACTTGCTTATCTCAGTATGGAATCACTGTGCAGAACTACAGTAGTGTTCATTGATGTGCTTATTATGGATGGCTACCTGCTCTTGAACTTTGGCTTTAAGCAGGGGTGGGATACAAAAGGGTTAACTACCATTTCGGGATTTATGAGCTTCCCTGCCCGCTGTGAGCCGCGTGCCTGTAAATTGTCATAAATCGTCATTAGCACATCATTAGCACACTGCCTGCTGAGGAGCGGCCTTTGAAACAGCCCCCTTTTCTTGTTTTTTTAACTGCAGCTATGCCTCATTTGGCAGCTGAAGTTGAAAAATCAGGAAATAAAGATCAGGTAAGAGCCCAGGTGGGTGAGTGGGCAAAAACATCAGCAGATATAGAACCGGTTCTATGTCTGCTACTCTTCAGAGCTACTGGTTCTACAGAGGTGGACAGAACTGGTAGAAGCCCACCCCTGGCTTTAAGCAACAGAATAAGCATGGATACTTCCTAAAAATTGAATAATTGGAAGGTGACGTTTTCTTGTGATAAAAATTTGAAATATGGAAATTTTTATTAGCTGAAAGGCATGATACATAACTAGAACTAGGCATTGTCTGTTCACTTATGATTCAAACTTTTACTTCTCTCATCGGCTCTCACTTTTCTGTTAGCATGATTGTGAGGAATATTTCACTCTTGTTCTGATTAACTACAGCAAAACCTAAACTTGGTTTCTGAAACTATTCAGCTTCATAATCCATGATTTGAAGGACACTTACTTCAAAGAACACTGAGTTAACAGGGAACAAAAAAATGGAAAAAATAAATCTGGAAGAAGCCCATTTTCCTATTTGCTGTTTTTTCCCCTTTCTTTTTTCCTCAATTGTACATGGAAACTGTACATGGAAACAAAGACTACCCCAGAGAAACAGGAATTGTATTATTTGTATA